GTGAATACCCTAGCTATAAAAGCTTTAAGAACAAAAAATCGATGTGTAGAATATTTTATCCGAAAAAAGCTTGTTCAAAAGTAGAGTGTAATGCAAGTTTGAATACTCTACTATAATTATTAATCTATTATTATATAGCCAACATATTCTAAAAAAAATGCAATGAAAAAATGCAAATATATATAAATTCTGTACTATAGATTATATATAAAAGATGAGCACTTGAAGGGAATGCACAACTCAAGCCAAAACTTGAATCGGTTCAAATTATAAAAAGTTTAAGAAACTGTGCCACATATAATTAAATATAACTGATAATATCAAGAATATATAATATAAGATCATCTATGACTAGCCAAGACATAAACCAAAAGCTGTTGCACGAATCAGCTGAATCAGCTGGAGACAGAATGCAACACATAGTTGGTATAGCCTTAGTTAGGGTATGAGGCCAATGACGCAAATGGCGTACAGCGAATTCCCAAGACTTTTTTTTATACTTTTGTTGTTTTTTTAGTTGTTGTTGCTGTTTGCCTTATGCTGCTCTTGACTTGCGGTTTTCGCTGTTATTTATTTACTTTGGCATTGTTGTTGTTGTTGTTATTGTTGTTGTCGCTACTTTTGCTATTTGGTGGCTTACAGCGACGCCCGCTCGATCATGTAATTACTTTGACGATCATACACGGTGGCCGCTTGATGGGCCGCTGACGTCAACGGAAGTCGACGTCGCCGTCGACGTCGCTGTCGAGGCCGCCTCAGAGGCTGTGACCGAAGAGCGGCCGCACGAGAGTGAGAGAGAGAGAGAGAGAAAGAATGCGAAATTGCGTGACCATGCAGCTCTCCTTTTCCCTCTCACGCGCCCTCGCAATCGCCTTTACCCTCTCTGCTGCTCGTCTCCCATTTCAATCGATTTGTCGCACCATTAGCGGGCGTCATAACTCAAGCGGCCAACCAACCCCCCAAAAACAATCGCAGAGTCGCGCCGCTAGCAGCGCTGCCAGCGTCACTGCTCGCTGCTCGCTGCCCGTTTTCGATTAGATATGAGCGGCTGTCAGAGCTATGGCCTGTTCAGCTGACGGATGGCCGCGACTAAATGCCATATATATCAAAAACAACAACAACAATGGCTACAGCAACAATATAAACCCAAAACACTATCCAATAATGATAATGCCCGAGTGTTAAGCGAACTATGCGCTATCATTCCAAATGATCCGCATGGCGAAAGTTTCATTTCCAAGCTGATGAAATGTGACCAGATATCCATATACCCATGTATATAGACTTTATTTATATATGTGTATATGATAGTCTGAGATATATCGTGTCTGAATTTCCTAGCTAGTCCTAGCTATTAGCCTACAGCACACATAAATCTCTATTTGTCAATTAGTTCTAGAGTTGAGATCACGCAAAAATCTACTTAGATCGTAAAAGACTTATGACAGCGAGCAGAATTTACAAGCTGCTTGCAAAATAAAGCTAGCTGCAGGGCAAGTAGTAAAACTACAGACTAAGTTGAAGCTCTATGTAAGCGGAATATATCAGAGAATGTCTATAAGAGTATAGCAGAAACTGAGAGGTTGCTCTATAAGAATGTTGTATATATATCAAATTAAAAAATACCGGTAAGTTGAATAGGCTCGACATATTTCAGAAATAGATAGATAGATAGATTTATTTACGTAACAAATCAGAGTTTTATTTTGAATGATAAAGTTCTTAATGCTATGAAATAATTTCAAAGTCGACCGGAACTGTATAAAATATGAGATATATATATCTGAGATATACATATATGTATGTCTATACAATATCTGATTCAATAAACTATCGCTATCTGCAAATTTTTGCCTCTACATATAATCTATTATCAATTCTTCTTCAAGCCCAAATGAATATACTCCCTTGCTATGTTGTAGGAGGCTTTATTTCTTAATTTTCTCTTATTGCTTCTGTACTTCTTTTTTTTTTCAAACTTCAACTCAATTCTCCCGATCTTTTTCTTCTATATATGTATCTATCGAGGGTTAACCATAGTGCTGGTCCCTCAAATCTCATATTGAGCTACTCCAATATATACAGAGTATGCCTAGCTCAATATCATCATTCTCAATCATAAGCTATAAGGTTCTCATATGCGGGCCTCTGCTGTGGGGTCTCTCATGTGTAGAGCAATGCCAAGTCGTTGCTGTGGGGGCAATTGTTTATCTTTGTAATTTGTTGTTATTTTTATGGCCTCGGGCACAAGATTTGCCATTATTAATGATCGCGAAGCCAAACAAAATGGTGCCCAGTGACGTCACAAGCGAACGCGCGCGCGTACGCTGCCTTGACACCCACACACAGGCAGACAAGCAGAAAGCGACAAAGAGAGAGAGAGAGAGAGAGAGAAAACGAAGGAGAGATAGGGCCTTAGGGGTAATCTCTATCTAAAGTAATCAGCGCAGCCCACGCCGCAATGAGCCAAGCCAAAAGTCAGACGAGCTGAGCGACGGACGGACAATAGGACAGACGCCGGGACAGACGGAGATAGTTAAACAGCTCCGACTTGGAATGATAAATTATGGCTAGCTAAACAAATGTTGACCCTATCTGTCGCGCGAACTCTCAACTCTCTGTCGGTTTCTCTCTCCCTCTCTTTCTCTGGCATTCCACTCTACTCAGCTGAGTAAATGTTGTCAACATCTGCCCATCTAATACCCCTTCCCCCTAAATCAACTTTTGCACTTATCTAATGATGCGACTTTTATCTCGCTTGCTTAGAACACGCTTTACACTTCTGACTACCTCTCACGCTCGCGAGCTAAAGAAATTACATACTTCTGTTATGATTCTGTCAACCTCTGTCCCCCTTGCTAATGTTTTCTCACTCTCTTTCTCTCAAGAAAGTAAGAAAACAACATAAAGAGAATTAAGAGAGATTGACGGAATCATAACCATCCTTTGAATCCCCTTTCTCATTCTCTCTCACTCTTTCTCTCTCTTTATTCTCTCTCTCTCTCTCTCTCTCTCTGAATCTTTATCCTATCTGCCTCTCATTCTATTTGTCTGTATCGCTATCTGTGCTTCTTTCTATCTTTTCTATTTCTTTTGCTAATCTAAATTTAACCCTCTCTCACCTTCTAATGCATCTCCTGCTCTTTTTTTCTCTCCCTTCATCTCTCTCTCAGACTCTCATTCTAACTCTCCGTCTCTATCTATATCTTGCTTTGCCTCTCTCCCTCTCTGTCTCGATCTCTGCCTCTCTCTTTTTCTCCTCCATTCTATTTTTTATTTCATTCTGCGGTGCAGTCTCTTGCTCTCTTTCTCTCTCTCTTTTTCCTCGCTCTCTCTCTCTCTCTCTCTCTCTCTGCCTCTCTCTTTCTATGATTTCATCACTAGGCGTCAGGCTCATTCTCTCTCTAGCTAAATAAATGACATCCCAAGCTCTCTCTCTCTCTCTCTCTCCATCTCTCTCTGCACCCCTTTCTATAGTTGCACCTTCACCTAGCGTCAACTTGTTCTACCAGGAAATGGGTATTCCAATGAATACCAGAAACTGATATCATAAGTCAACAAATGGACATGAAAATATCTTATCTCTGACGATCTTTCATGTATATCAAGAAAATACACAAAGATGATAGATATACTGTTATTTATATTTTTTATTTACCGAAAAACATTTCCATTTCGCTTTCGCGGAAGCTTTTTCTCCAGCTACCCCACTCCCTTTCCCTGACTTGCTCTATCTGCCCATTTCCCGAAATGCAAGCTGTAGAAGTTTCCCTTAGATTAATGTAAAATCCCCAATCTGTGACTTTGAAACTGACATGTGAAGCAACTGCGTTTCATAAAAACAAAGCATGACGTATGTCAGATATACTATAGATATACTAGTAATATATCTTATTATATATGTACATACATATGTGGCTTACGAATGGATCGTGTCGAAAACAAAGCATACTTGATAAGCCCAGACGCAGCCAGAGAAACAGAGTACAAAGCTCGGTTATGTTAGATCTGGGTACATTCATAAAATTCATTAAACGCATAGAGAGATATGGAAATTTGACACACTATAGCCCAGCCAGACCGTGCTTAAGTATTATAATTAATTACGATTTCCTTAGGCAAGTGTCTGGGACTAGATAAGTCCCATGAACGCATATGGAATAGGAAAAGTAAAAACATTTGAATGCTCTGGAAAATAATACAACTTAAATCTAAGTTTTTAAATTAATCCAGATTATCTATGTATTATAAGAGAGTCACGGCCTTTCAATTGATTGATTTAGTCTACGAAAAAACTTCGGCTTAGCTTTTGGAAATTGCAGCATAGCTGAAGTACATAATGGTACACAAAAATGGATGCACAAAGTATATATACTTATATATATATGTATATATCATTGTATGGTCGTGAAATTAGGTCGAATTCCTATTGCGAGTTCGTGAGTATTTTCAAAATTCCGAAAATGTTATTTATGCACGTAGCCAAAATCAATTGCTTTGAAGCCCATTTCAAAGATATTACCAAAATGGGCTTAGCCTAAGTGTGAAATGAAATACGCTGGGCGAGTGCTATGGGTGAGAGAAACTAGAGCATTATGAGCATAAAAGAGAACTTTAACTCCCACATTGAGATCATAAAAGACCTTGCGGAAACTCCATGGATCCATATACATGAGGTATATTGAATTATAATTTCATTATGGATATTCTCTTCCTATCCTCCATATTCATATACCTATTTTACCATATCATACCCTTACAAAGCTTCACACTTCTCCGACTGTCTGAAGAGTGAAGAAGCAACAATAGCCAATATAGATAAAGATGTAGATAGAGTTATAGCAAAGCCCAGATAAGCCAGATAATAACGTGTATATAAATGTGATATATATACAAACACAGCTTTGCAATACATGCGTTATAGATATATATGTAAATATATATATATATATTGTATGTTTATATTATGCTTTTTTATTACGTATAGCTGTTTATATATGTATATGTATATGTATGTATAATCCAAGTTTTCTTTATTTACTTTACACAATACTGTCTATCTGTCTGGATTTCTTGATATATAGAACGTATATACACAGGAGAAATAATACACATATAGGCGCATTGTATATATCTATAATACTAAAATATACAGAGTTAATCACTAAGATAAGCGTCCGTCGTTTGTGATTGCCCGTGTTTGTGTGTGTGTGTGTGTGTATGTGTGTCTGCTCTGTGTGTGTTGTGATAGCACAGTTATGTATATATGTTTGTAGATATACATATGTATATAGCTGAGGTCGCTGCCACAACTTCTATTAGCGCACCCAATTTCAACATCATCATTTGTCGGCGTCGACTCATAAGATACAAAAAAAAAAGTTTATATATATGTATATACATGTATATATACACATTATATACTAAAAACCCACCCGTAGTTCGTTCCACAGCAATGGAATCTTGCCTGGCGATAAGATAAGCGGCAAATTAATTACCTGTACTCACTTGCGCCCGCCCGCCCCACCCACTTCTCTAACTCTAATATCTCGAACTCTCTACATCATCAAAAAAAAAAAAAAAACAATTATATATATGTATATGTATATGCCTATAATAGATATACTAAATTTAAAACAACAATACACAACACACACACACACATACCATCTACCCACTGCCCCCTACACAGCCCGCCCCTGCTCAACCCCCCATCCTACATTGTGTGTCTTTTAATCTTAATTGAGATTTCCTATAATTGTGACGCTGCCGTCGCTGCCATCGTTGCCGTCGTCGCTGCAGCGCTGCCTGCTGCTGCCTACCTTCTTAGTGCCATCGCCGAGCTGCGTAGCAGCCAAAAGCTCGCTCAGCTGACGCTCTCGCTCTTGCTCCTGCTGCTCCTGCTGCTGCTGCTGCTTCTGCTGCTGCTGCTGCTGCTCGATGTCTATGTCCTCGTCATCGCCGCCGCTCAGCTCGCCGCTGCTGCTGTTGCTCGACTTGCGGGCGAGTGCGACGCGAATGCCGTTCACAATGCACTCGCCGCCGTCCAGCGCCGAGATGGTGGAGCCGCAATAGTAAAGGTTGCTGCAGCTGCTCGCCGCACTCACATCCGACTGAGCTTCATCCTTGGCGCCGCCGATGCTGCCGGCGGCAGCGGCACTCGCTTCCAGCGAGCAGCGACGCTGGCCGCGTGAGCGCTGCAGGCGAAAATACTCCATCTCCTCCATGCTGATGCCGCATGCGGTTATATCATCCGAATAGTCCGAGACGACCACCGAAGGCGTTCGCACGTAACGCACGCCCGGCATTCCGCCCTGCTCGCTAACGCAGCTTTGCGTGGATTCGCGCCGTGAACCGGGTGGCGCTGCCAGCGCCGCGACGACGCGCTCCTCCAGCAACACTTTTGTTGGCACGCCCCCGCCGACACCCACGCCCATGCCGATGGCGGCGGTGGCGCTGGTCGGCGAGGTCAGCGGCGAGTCTGGCAGAGCTGTCGGCTCGGCTAGTGGCAGCAGAGCCGGTCGCAACGGCAAATCGGTAACTGTTAATGTCATGCGTCGCTGCGGCGACGGCAGCGTCTCCATATTGACGTCGTCCACTTCCAGGCCCAGCGCCGAGTCGCTGCTCGCACAGCGCGTCACTTTCGGCTTACGCCGGGCAACGGCGTCGCACTCATTGTCGCTGCTGCATGGACTGATGCCGCCCGCATTGCAGCCCTCGTCCGAGTTGGCAGCGCTGCTCGCAATCACAGCTGGCTTCAGCTGCCCCGGCGCCTCCGCTGCTGCTGGCTGCTGCACAATCATTGCCTGAAACTTTTCAATCAGCTGCTGTATGGGCGTCCTGGAACGAAGAGCTTCCGTTTCGATCTCTCTAACTGGAAGTCGCCGTTGTGGCTGTGGCTGTGGCTGTGGCTGATGTTGTTGTTGTTGTTGCGCTGTAAAAGCGTTAAGATCCTGGAAAAAAGCTGCGCGCAGTTGCGCCTTGTGCTCAGCGAGACAAAGCTGTCGTTCACATGGAATCGCACGCAGAGTGTCTGTCTCTCTTAATGTTGTGCTCTCTTTCGGGAAAGCTTCCTCTTCTTCGTCTGTTGGTGCTGGTGCTGTTGCTTGGACTTGCGCTTGTGCTTTCGTTGCTGCGACTGTTGTTTGTTCGAGGCGTGCGCAACGCTTCGCTGCTCTCAGATAACTAAAAGTCGTTGGCGCTGCCGTCGCGCATTTATTTTGAGCGTTAACCGTTGTCAGCGCCGTCAACGCTGATGTCGTTGCCGTTGCTGTTGTCGTTGCTCTTGTCGCTGATGCCGGCGTCGCAGTCATTATCTTGAGCATTGAATCGGTTTCGGGTTCGGATTCGGTTTCGGGTTTGGTTTCGGTTTTAGTTTTGGTTTCGGTTACGATTTCAGTTTCGGACGCGGCGGCGGCGTCGGCGGAATTTCGTTGACCATCGCGGCGCGCACTCATCGCTGTCGACGTCAGCGTTAACGTCGGCGTCGCGTGCGTTATAAACTCGAGCTTTCGATTTGAACGCGTCCGCGCAACTCAAATTCAAATGACACCTGCCGCTGCCGTCGCTTAACTGTCGCTCTGACTATAAACACGGTCTTCAACAGCGACGCCAACGGCGACAGCGACAGCAACAGCGACGGTAACTGCGACAGCGACAGCGTGACGCTGGTAATGATATTGCTGCGACTGCAGCTGCTGATGCTGCTGTTGCTGCTGTTGCTGCTGTTGCTGCTGCTGCTGTTGCTGCTGTTGTTGATGTAGAAGGTGTTGCCACTGGCGCTGATGGCGTTTATCCCGTTCTATTGAATTTTCGTACTTGCACATTGCCCGCTTACACGACCGCGACCGCTGCGGCTATCAGTGACGCTGACTGCTTTGATGCGGCCGCTGCGGCTATCGCTGCTGCTGCTACGGCTGTTGCCGCTGCTGCTGCTGCTGCTGCTGCTGCTACTGTTATTGCTGGCTGCAATTGTAAGCAGAATTGGAATTGAAATTGGAATTGGAATTGGAATTGTGTGTGATCTTGAAACGTTGACGCAATGTGCAATGATCCCGCACACATACAAACACACACAAACAAACAAATACACGCACACACTTATTGCTGCTTATTTATTTATTTATACTCGTATTTCGTTTTTGTTGCTGCGCTCCAATTGCTTTGCTAGTTTTCTTAACTTGAGCGCGTAATTGCATTTAAGCACAAAAAAGCACACAAGCACACACACACAGAGAGAGAGGGAAACACAGACAAGGAGACGCATACATGCACAGCGACTGACAGACTGACAGACGTCGCGTTCTCATATGCTGACGCACAGTGGATCACGCTCTTGGTTCGCAGCTCATATAATTTTACATCATGTTCGCGCAGCATTAATTAAGGAAATTCGCCAATTGACGTATGAAATGTGACTCAAACATCAGTCTATAACAAAAACAATGAGTTTTAGTAGCGAAAAATAGAAAACTTCAGCTGACGCAAATCACATATATTACAAGCTGCACTATGTAGAATGAAACATCTAATATATGTATGTATGGGTATATTTTTAGAATTTGTTGCACAACGATCACAAAATGACTGGAGGAAATGATTTTTGTACTTATTATCTATTGATACATAGAGCCATATAATATTATCAACAACTGAGACGTCATTATCTAAGTTTGTCTCGACTTTTTATCTACCGTCAAAATTGAAAGTCATCTATTTAGCACTCGCTGTGGTTGGCAAAGCTATTCGGATTTAACTGCTGTTTAATGATGAGTTCAGTCCTTGGCTATGGCTGTGGCTGTGGATGAGATGGTGCGAAAGAAAGCGTTTGCGACTGAGCGCAATCGAGGCGGCAATCGGAATGACAATGATCGATAACATGTGATTAATGGAGAGGTAATGTCATCTCAATATCAATTTCACCAGCGATTCGCGAGTGGTGGCCCATTGTGATTCGTTGCGCACTTTGTTCGCGCCGTGCTGGCTATGACGTCAGTGGCAGGGGCCGCGGACGTCGCGACGTCGACGGCGGCGTGACGCGCATTCATTTGTCAGACGCAGACGCAGACGCAGCCGCGGCCAGCGACCAGTAACTAGCGACAAGGCAGACCGACCACAGAAGGAACAAGAATGAAAGAGAGAGAGTTGGAGAGAGGGAAAAAAAAACAAGGGCGCAAATGCAAACATAAATACATAGCATGAATATGACAGAGTGTGTGTATGTGTGTTAGAGAGTTTGAATGTGAGTGTGCAAACACTCCCGATCAGTCATGCAACCTGTGGGCGGCATCGGCAACGACGCATGCTTGACTGCAAAAGTGCCGCCCCATCAAGCGGCATAAATAACAAACAACGAAAATGAAGAGACAACAACAGCAAACAGAACAAGCAAAGTGCAATTTTTGACAAGACGCTGACGTCGCCGCTGACGCTGATGTGACGCCGATTGCCACCGTCCCGTTGTCTCGTTGCGAAATGGAAACCACTTTAGGCAACACACCTGCGATAGACGCCGAACTGTATGTATTGGCAATTATGTATGTATGCGTATGTATGTCTCTGTGAGCGGTGTGTGTGTATTTGTGTTTCGCTTGAACGGCACATTGCATTACGTCAATACAATTGACGAAATGGCAAACACTAAGAAAACTGAAGGATAACATTAGCGCGCTCTTATAATCAGTCTAACAGCCTCTCTCTCTCTCTCTCTCTCTCTCTTTTTCTCGCTCTTATACTCTGCTGCTGGCCCAGTAACCGATTGAAGTTAACTTTCAATGACGCTTCCACAATGAATGTTGTTGAGAGGGAGGGCGCGCACAAACATATGTACGTACATATGTGTTTATATTCATGCGAGCATGCGTGTACTTGTGCATATGTATTCATTTATGCATAAGTGTGTACATCTATTTCACACTTTAGCCTTAGCTTTATGTTTATTGCACACGAAAATGGCCAGAGCAAGCGTTTGACGCGCACACGCACGCGCACATTGTGCGCTCTGCGTTTATCGTTGCCAGGGCTGGCGCGCTCCCTTGCTCGCTCGCTCGCTCCTAAGCAAATTGGGCTTTAGCAAATACGGCAGCCATATAAATACCACTCGTGACTTGTAACTATATATTTGTGGTTTATATCAAGTGTGTAGTTGCTTACAATATTTGACAGGCAATTAATGTGAACTTAAATTGTTTGCGGTTGCGGTACGAGCCGGGTTGTGCAACTGCTGCAGCAGCCCTGGCTGTTGCATTCATTGCATTTTCCCATGTGCTGACATTGATCAATTGCAAACACTTTAAAGCCTGTCTCTGCCTCTGCCTCTGCCGCTGCCGCTGTCGCTGCTGCTGGTGCTGGTGCTGCGTCTCTCTGTGGTTGTGCTCGTGTATGTGTATGTGTATGTGTTTAGATATTGAATTTAGCAGCTGTTTAAAACACATGCAAATTACATTTTAACTCTTTTAGCTTTTTGGCTCGCAGCTTTTTCTTTTGCGTATTTGCCGTTTCGTTTTGATTGCTTTTCTTCGTTGTTGTTGTTGCTGTTATTTAGTTTTATTTATTTGTTGTATGCACATATGTATGCATATACATTTTTTTCGTTTTTGTAACGGTCGGCAACACGTTTGACGCGTACGTTGACGAGCGAGCGTGCGGACAAGAGAACGCGGCGACGTTGGCGGCGCTTGCTTCGCGTTTCACTGTGCGCAAGCAACTGTTTTCTTTTTTTCTTTTTTTTTTATTTATTTATTTTGTTTCGTTCCGACTTAAGCTCAAACAGACTCAAATTCTCACACATCGACTTAGCGGGCCACGCGGGGCCTGAGGCGTGGCTCATTGGAGGCTTGCCCGGTGTTTAAGCTGCTCTGCTCTGCTCTGTTCAGATCTGCTCAGCGCAGCTCTGCCCGACTCGACTCGACTTAGCTCTGCTTCTGCTCTGCGCCGCTAGCTAATAAACTAGGCTGGCTTCTGTGGCTGATGCACAAATACTAGCGCATACAAATATAATTTAAAGCACACACACACACACACATATGCAGATTCACGCGTGTTCATTTTATTTATTTTGGGCGCGCATTTTAGCTAGTTAAATATTAATATTAATTCATTGAACGCACACTTCGCACTCTTCTGTCAATTGCCTATTTTTATATATAAATATGAGTACATATTTATATGGGTGTGTGTGTACAGACACGCATACGTATGCGTGTATTGTTTGCCTTCTCTATTTGCTTTAACGCTCGTTTTCGCATGCTACTGTTAAATTTCACATTTTTTCTTTTCTCTGCGCTCGTTAGCATCTCCCGTTAAACTAGCTGTCAAATATTTAACAACCAGAATGGCGGGCAGATGAGTATTTTTCTAAAGATTTGCCCGCTTACAGGCGCAGGCAGCATTGCCAGCCTTGCATGCGCGGAGGCATTGCCAGCTTATAGGCCAAGCGTAGCCAGCTCTAAGGCGCGATTCGCTTAAGGCTTAGAATAAATATTTATGTGATGCATCACATCTTTGCCACTGAGAGGTGATGTCCGCATAGGTCCCCAATTTCGAATCCCACAAAAGCACACCTTAAATGATCATATAAGCCGGCTTACCATAATATACAAACTCAAATTACAGCTATCGTATATCTGCAAAGCCTCCATCTAGAAGGATATAGTCGTTCTTTTGTTCATCCGTATTCCATACAGAAGGAAGGAATGAATATAGGAAAAGAGAGACAACTATTGGAAGGAACTACGATTATAGCCTTATAGCGCTACAAAGATGGACTGGAGATAACTGGGTTATAACAAACTCGATGTTTCATAGGGATTTAGAGATTCCAACAGTCGTAGAACTCATTCAGTGACAGAGCTTCAGGAATGCGCATCCAAATCATCTTGCATCTAATTTGAATACCAGCAGCAGAAGATTACGAATTTACATCTAAACGTAAAAGACTATAATAGCTTAGTAATAGAGGAAATCTAGACCTGAGATTATTTCCCTGGCATACAGTCCCACTCAGTGGTTAAGTCTCAGACAAAAGCAGAACTGAATAAAATAAATAACAAATAAAATTTATATATGCATATAAAAAAATATTTATTTAAAAATATAAAAACACATTTTGAAATATTTCTTTCACAAATACTTAATTATAGTTATTAAAAAATAAAATAAAAATTAATGTTCACTGTACACATCAAAAGTTTTCCAAAAACTTTTTGAATGAGCAATTTCTATTCTTTAAATTTTCAAACCGAATTTCTAACCATTTTTCACATATTGGTAGTAAAAACGATCGTAAACCTTAAACAAGTGTTATTATTTTTATTTTGCATTAAAAACTCAACTTGAAAAATTTACATTCAGCGTAAAAGTTAAGAGCTATGAATTACAAAATATAGCCATAATGCTTGTCTGTATGTGTGTGTGTGTGTGTGGTGTGTGTGTGTGAGTCTGTTGTTAACCTGAGTAAAAGTCCAGTTGAATGCGAGTAGTATACGTGCATCACACTGGCCCGCAATGAAGTGGAGAAGGAGGAAGGGGAAGGAGGAGGATTGTAGAAATGTCATTACAAATAAAAAATCAAGTGTTCTACATATTAAGAAACAATATTCAGTTTGCTAAAGAAAAACAACTTCGTCAGTGTCAACGATGGCGTCGCTCCCGCTCCCGGTCCCGTTCACGATCACGCTCACGGTCACGGTCCCGCTCGCGCTCCCTTTCTCTTTCCCTATCTCTATCCCTGTCGCGCTCCCGCTCACGCTCCCTGTCCTTATCCTTCTCGCGTTCATCGTGATGATCGTTGTACCGATGACGGCTGCCACGCTCCTCGCGCTTGCGATCGTGACGATGACGGGCACGACTGGTGCTCCGACTCTTGCTGCGGCTGCGGCTGCGACTGCGGCTTCGCGAGTTTTGTCTGTGCTTGTGCTTCTTCTTGTGCTTGCTGCTGCGACGCCGCTCGACACGATCGCCGCGATCGCCGCGATCGCCGCGGTCGCCATAGTCCTTATCGCGCTCGACATTGCCATACGGCAGCATCGAGGAGGCTAACGCCGGCGGAGGGTAATCGTCGTAGCAGCGACTGCGGCCATACGATGAGCCAGATGATGGCGCTGCATAGTAGTCGCGATCGTCATGATCATTACGATAGTTGGCAGGCGGATAGCCACCTCCGCCGGAACGTGCTGCCCCATGGCCACGCCCACCGCCTTCATAGTCATCACAGCCTGTGGCCACGGCTGCAGCAGAGCCGGGCGCAGCTGCCGATGCAGGATTGCCCCGACCCGTGCTCAGCTGGCTGATCGTGATGCCCTGCTCCCGGCAGTATTGCTCGATCCGCTTCTCGATCTGTTTCTGTATGGGCACGGGAATGCGCGGAAAGAGCGTGGAGAACCAGTCCAGCTTTGTCATGAACTGATATACCATCTGGCCAATAGTCATCACCTGGACGGGCCCACACCGAGAAGCGAACAGAGAATGTTGATTAGTCGAATGTGGGCGCGATTGCAAAATTGATTGGGTTCGTTGTGCATATTGATTGGTGGCTCATACAGTTGACTCACCTGGCCGCCGCCCGCTTTGACGTCGATCTCCTCTTCGTCCTGCAGATAGTCCTCGTACCAGTCATACAAGTCTCCCGGCGGCTGCGTATAGCGTAAGTACATAAAACCTACAGGCAATTTACACGTAAAGCATACAATAATTATTAGTGCACACACACACAGTCATAAATAGGAAGAGGATAGCACGCAGCTCAGCGAGATCATAATAATGAATTGAATCTAAAGCAATTTTCACTTAAATTTGTAATATTATCGAAGAGCGAACTAACTATATATAAGACTATAGTATTGCTAATATATATAGTATAACTAATATATAACAAGATACAAAGATTTATCAATTATGAAGATCAAATTGGTAAGCTATTGGAAAACATTGGAACACTTCATTTAAGCGAGTGTTCAGCTTAGATAGGGCATACTGTACTGAAATACTATGTCATATCGCAACACATGGTTATAATATAACTTTATCATATTTCTTTAAACTCACGGCATATGGGTATATAGTATCATGGTATAAATATCGTAATTCTATAAATTATTCTCAAAGTACTTTAAAACACGCTAACTTTATATTGTTTATAATATAAACACATGTCTATGAACTTGATTGCATTTATAAGAAAAATAATAATAGTTGATATTTTGTAACTGAACTGGATCAAATGAGCTGCGTACTGACTGAGATAGATAGAGGGAGAGTGAGATAAAGAGAGACGCGGGCGGAGCAGGAGCAAGCAACGAGTGAGACACGGCTGAACTCATGCGACTTACCAACCACCTACCTAGTGCCCGAATGTAGGCTGAGTCTGTATGGTTGAGTAGTCCGTTCACTTGCTTGCGCGTCAGACGGAGCGTGTAGAGCTTGTAGAGCAGACAGTAGGCGGTGGATACGATGCCGCCGGCGCCAACACCGCGTACCTGCAAACGAAAAGCATTAGCATATCGTGCTGCACTTCTCACTTTAATCAACGGATTAAATATTATCGCCAACGATTAGCGCTACATTTCATAAACTCACACCGCCGCACATGCCCGTCTGGCCAGAGGTTTTGCGCGAGCCACGCTCCCAGGGCTCCATGTGCTTCACTTGGTAGTAGATCTCGTCGACGACCTCATGGTACGTTTTCAGCTTGAATAGATGAACTGTGCGGGCAAAAGCAACAATCAATTGTTTTTCTCTCATCTCTTTCTGTTTTTTTTTCTTTCGTTTTTCTTTTTTTGGCGGGTAAATTTTGGTTGGATTGGCTTACCTTTAAAATAACTGGAACTCTGTATGTTGGCCAAAATCAGGGGATTGAGGTTCATTGAGGTCTCATTGCCCCACAGTGGCAGCGTATTGTGCTGTTTGCCAACACCGGCCTTTTTGCCGCCGGCGCCACCGGCGGAAGACGCCGTTGAATATTCTGATAGAGCAACAGCAAGCGAGCATTGAAGACGCCGCGAAAGAGACAGGAAGATATACACACAAGCATAGATGAATTTAATGGAATTGTTGAGCTAAAGTGGAATGCCCAGGACGGGCGCACACTACCTTACCTTCGTCCATGACTCCAGTTTAGATTTTAGTGTTAATATTGTGCATTAATTTTGCACATTTAAGTGACTTTTTTGGCCGAGCAATCTCAATCTGCAAACGTTTGCGTGCAGTGAAAATGTCAATGTGTGTCGGTCAGGGAAATTAGGGATGCTAGAAACACAAGTCGATATGTTTGAGCACGACAACTATCGATACAAGTGAAATGTGATTCGTGTACTCCTATCAAACTATTTTATATGAAATCATATAATGTGAATATTACATTTGCTTATTCGGGAAGTTAAAAACTAATGTAATGGAGACTAACACCAAAAAATCAACGTTCATTAAATATTTACGAATATCGATGTGCCGTTATCAGATGTTCACTGCCGATATTTACCTAAGAGTGCAGTTGGTTCATTTGAAGTGTTAACTCAATTGGTCTTATACAAATCTTATATTGGTCTTGACTTGTTAACTTAACTATGTCGTATATTGTACAGTAATATGAAAGAAACTGTTTATTTGTATAATGCTAAGCTTATAATAAATTTAGTTTATTTTAATAAAACTGGAATTTTATACTTTTCTGCTTATATGTGCACGTATTGTAAGTTTCGCGCGTTTTCTTTTTTGCAATGCGATGTATTATGGTATATCGATAAGTGCGCGGCTTGAGCTGCTTCACGACTTACTGAGTGACCGCACTATCGAGCTAGCTCAGAACATGAACTTATCGACTCCAAAATATACGCAACGCAGCAGCAGCAGTAGCAGCAGCAGAAGAAGCAGAGGCAGCAGCAGCAGAAGCAGAAGCAGAATCAGTAGTAGAAGAAGAAACAGCATCCGCGGACTGCGTTTTAATCAATTAAAAGTCGGGCGAGTGAAAAAATGCAGCCGCTGGCTGCCAGCAGCAGCCGTTGCCTCTCAGCTGGTAGTGTTTGTGCTTGTGCATTTAGATGTAGAAGCGGATGCGAACGTGGGTGTCAACCAGTGTCAATCGAGCAAATTCTGAACGCAAGCGCAAAACAAACAACTGACCAAAACTAATAATCTAAGCAAAAATATCAGCAGCAGCAGCAGCCGCAGCGGCAGCAGCAACAAAGTTCAGGGTCAGGGTCATGGTCAGGCAGCTGTAGGAGCTGGGGTGTTAAAGTTGTCAAACGAATCACCTGGACGCAGGTGAGAGCCATTTGGAGTCGTCGCCATGTCGACCGACTCATCGCCGGAGAGCGACAGCGAAGTCTACGATCCGCTTGCCGACGAGCTCCACAATGTCCAGCTGGTCATCCATGTGACGAGGGAGAACATCGACGCATTAAATGCGAAATTCGCCAATCTTCAGGAGCCGCCAGCTATGTACTTAACAGGTGGATTCTCAATACCCAACGTACTCTCACCATTGCTCACTGCAGATTTCTCTTCTTTTTTCGTATAGAATACCAGGAGCTGACGTCTAAGCTGCACGAGTTGAAGGCCAAGGAGCACGAGTTAATGGAGCAATTGAATGCTCTGCAACAGGACGATGATTCCAAGAGTCAAAGCCAGAGCGAGGCCAAGCAGCAACAACAACAGCAGCAGCAGCAGCAACAGTCGACATTAAGTGCGGATCGCACGGATCAGCCACACTATCAAAACCAGACGCAAATCCTCCAGCAACAGCGCCAGCTGGCCAGGCACGCTCACGAGCAGACACCGGGCGAGACCGGGTCGGGCAGCCAGTGCGGCACCCTGACCCGCCAGCCAAAGGTGCTGCTGCGCGCCCATCTGCCCAACCAGCAGCGCACCTCCGTCGAGGTGGTGGCCGGGACTCGGCTGTGCGACGCCCTGATGAAGGCGCTCACGCTGCGTCAGCTGGAGCCGTTCATGTGCGAGGTGAGCACGACGCCGCATAGCGGCCGACATATCATACCGTGGAACACGGACATTGGCACGCTGCACGTGGAGGAGATCTATGTGCGGCTGCTGGACAAGTTCCCGCTGGGGCCGCACATCAAGCACCAGTTCATACGCAAAACCTTCTTCTCGATCGTCTTCTGCGAGGGCTGCCGTCGGCTGCTCTTCACGGGCTTCTATTGCAGCCAGTGCAACTTCCGGTTCCATCAGCGCTGCGCCGGCCGGGTGCCCATGCTCTGCCAGCCCTTCTCCGTGGACAGCTACTACGAGCGCCTGCTGTCATCGTATCCGGAGAACTCGGTGGGTTTGCCCGTGGGTCGCAGCAATGCTGTCCGCTTCAATGTGAGTAGCCGTCGCTGCAGCAGCAGCGGCAGCAGCAGCACCACCACGACCACAACCACAACAACCACCAACAACAGCAGCTCTAAACCTTCTGCCAACCGACAGGGCCGACCGCCGCGCATCAGCCAGGACGACCGCTCCAACTCGGCGCCCAATGTCTGCATCAACAGCATCCGCCCGCTGACCAACGACACGCAGCGCAGCCTCATCATGCAAGCCAGGCCCCCATTGCCGGTAAGTGGGTGTCGGACACCTGGACATGGCCAGCATTTCCAGCTGGAGGGGCTAGTGGGGCTAACTCTCTATGTATAATCTGAATAACCAATTGATAACTGAGAATGAGCTCCCGACTAGACTCTAGCCGGATTTCTATTGACCATTGCTTGTTGAATGCCTTAAGGGATTTGAGTGCAAAGATAACTCCCAGCTGGCTGTTAGACTGACCTTAGCTTAGAAATACATTAAGTGAAAGATATTTGCAGTGGAACTAAGTATTAACCGATGTTGGAAAGTCAAGTATACCCCCTTCAATCTCTCTCTTGGGTTCATTAGATGATTCAAGATTTAAGGCTTAGTTCAAACTAAATTCCTAAACTCACTTGCAAGCGTAAAATATAGATAAAAGTGATTCTATCAAAGTTGTTTCAACTGAAACCCTAAGAAGTTGAATGGACTTCAATTCAAAACTATCTCTATTATATATAAAAATAGCACAGAAGTGTCAGCTTCTCTCTTCTCATTAGTTGTTCCCATGAGCTATAAACAAAGTGTGAAAGAATTCCACTTAAACTTTCTATAGAACTTCTTAAGGCTTATCGTAAAAGCTTATCGAACTGGCCTGAATCAGACTTGTACTAGATGGTAAGAGAATTTCTCTGGCAAGTGTGGAATATAAGTGATAAGTTATGTGAAATTTATTTGAACATAGTTGCTTTGGAAAATGGGTGAAGGTTTGATGGAACTGTAGAAAATAGGAGTAGAGAGTATATAACATTTATTTGAATCGAGCTGGCTTAAATCTGTTGACTAACGCAAGTGATTTTTATTTTTTATTTTCGGCCTAATGCTGCTCGTTTTTTGGTTTTATTCCGCGCTCTCCTCTTTCTCTCTCTTTTTTTGTTTGTTTTTTTCTCCTTCTCTGTTTGACCCATTGCAGCATCCGTGCACGGATCATTCGAACTCGACGCAGTCGTCGCCCACCAGCACCCTAAAGCACAATCGACCCCGGGCCAGATCCGCCGACGAGAGCAACAAGAATCTGCTCTCACGTGACGCCAAGAGCTCGGAAGAGAATTGGGTGAGTTGCAGCATGGCGATGTAGTGTAGATCCAAGATCTTGCTAATCTGGATTTGATATCTTTTATATATTTGCCTATAGAACATCCAAGCAGAGGAGATCTTGATTGGGCCACGCATCGGTTCGGGCTCGTTTGGAACAGTCTATCGCGCCCATTGGCATGGACCCGTAGCGGTAAAGACGCTCAAGGTGAAGACGCCGAGCCCGGCCCAGCTGCAGGCGTTCAAGAATGAGGTGGCCATGCTGAAGAAGACGCGCCACTGCAACATTCTGCTGTTCATGGGCTGCGTCTCGAAGCCCTCGCTGGCCATAGTCACCCAGTGGTGTGAGGGCAGCAGCCTCTACAAGCACGTCCATGTCAACGAGACGAAGTTCAAGCTGAACACCCTCATCGACATTGGCAGGCAGGTGGCGCAGGGCATGGACTATCTGCATGCCAAGAACATAATACACAGGTGAGTCGCTGGAATATGGGATTTAATATAATATATGGAGATTAACGATCGCCCCACCATTCCGCCTTTCTCCATCTACGCACAGGGATCTCAAGACGAACAACATCTTCTTGCACGAGGATCTGTCCGTGAAGATTGGCGATTTCGGCCTGGCCACCGCCAAGACGCGCTGGTCGGGCGAGAAGCAAGCAAATCAGCCAACAGGCAGCATTTTGTGGATGGCACCAGAGGTGATACGCATGCAGGAACAGAATCCCTATTCCTTTCAATCAGATGTCTATGCGTTCGGCATAGTCATGTACGAGCTGCTGGCCGAGTGCCTGCCCTATCGCAACATCAGCAACAAGGATCAGATTCTGTTCATGGTCGGGCGCGGTCTGCTGCGTCCCGATATGACCCAGGTGCGATCTGATGCACCGCAGGCGCTGAAACGTCTCTCCGAGGACTGCATCAAATACAATCCCAAGGAGCGTCCGCTGTTTCGGCCCCTACTCAACATGCTGGAGAATATGCTGCGCACATTGCCCAAGATTCATCGCAGCGCCAGCGAGCCAAATTTAACCCAATCCCAGCTGCAGAACGATGATTTCCTATACATGTGCCCCAGTCCCAAGACACCGGTCAACTACAATAACTTTCAGTTCTACAACAGCGCGGGCAACATCTAAAAGAATATAAGTTGAACAAGGAAGGAGGAGTTGGATGGAGATGGAAGGAGGATGAGGATGATGATGAGGAGGGAGGTGGAGGGAGGGAGGAGGAGGGAGGAGGAGGAGGGAGGCTGTACCTGTACTTACTATGAATGGAAGGCATGAAACAAATGCTTCAAGGCCACACTAAGCAGAAGAGAGAGCGAGAGAGGAGTATGGAAACTGAATGTGAGCAGGAAAAAAGATTATCTCTCTCTCTCGCTCTCGCTTGTCGTCTCTTTTGGCTGCTTCACTTTCAGCTTAGCCTGAAGCAACTGGACGTGAGAGAGAGAGACAGAGCGGAGTGACACAAGATTAGCTGTCTCGCTCTGCCCAACAACTGCTCGGCCTGAAGCAACTTCTAATGTGCATTTCTGTTATCATTTAAACAAACGCAAAAACAACCGCAACTATTATTGTAAACTAACTAAACTGAAACGCGCATATGTACATACATCTAAATAAATATACACATATACA